CAACGCAGTGGGATGTCCAGATTATGGCAGCAGTTTGGATGCATTAGTCTGGACTCAGCACCGATGCTAACAGCATGGCTTCCTGAATCAGCCCGCATCTGGATTCGCACGCACGTGTGCCTGAGTGTGTGCGTTCGCACTGTCTTCCCTCACCATGGTAATTGCCGCTTTTTTCATGGTGTTATTTGTTGCTAAGCACGTTCCTTTTTAAAAGCCCATGTTATTTATTTATCTCTTCGCTACTTTATTCCTCCCTCATTCTTCTGGGAATGTGTTGAGTGTTTTTTCCCCCCTGCCTCCAGGGACGCCATTGTGGATTACCATTCAGTTTTCACCTAATTATCTGGTGACTTGCACTGCCTTTGACACGTAATTATCAAAGCCCTAAATAATTGTCTTATTGCTTGTGTGTTTGCATGTAAGTCTCATGGAGAGCGTTCGCTTTTGTCGCCAGGACGGCTGAAATGGCGGAGTATTTATCGTCGCACGAGAGTCGCCTCCCCGCCTTTCTTATCGTTAAACTCTCCTATTTGCTTGTGTGTGTGTGTGTTTCACACTATTCTGTGTTCGAAATGCAGGGGTAAATAAAGAAGCGCTTCCATTGCGGTCAGCTTCATTAAGGAAAATGCGATTTTCAACAACTGAAGTCGAGCAATTAGCTCACTACGTGACGTGAAGCCACTTAAAGTGCTAAATGCTGTATTTTACAGTAGAGGTTACTAAAGAGGTCAAACAGACGGAGAGAGTGAGAGCGAGATTGGGGGGAGGATATATGACAACGGGGATATTTTGTCCTCATCAGCTGCAGGATTTCGCCAAAATCGGAAAGACCATTTCAGCTAGCTGGTCCAAAATCATCCTTGTGTCTTTGATTGGGGTCTCATAGCAACTGGGCTGTGTAGCAAAAGACAGATGAAGGGAACAGCCTTAATGGAGCTTATCTGGAGAAAAGGAAGGACAAACTGCTGTCTTCAGAGGTTTCCCGCTGGCTGTCCTTGATTCTATTTGACCGAATGTCATGACTGACCATTTACTACATCACGGCATTTTCAAAATCACCTAGTGTAAACAATATATAATAACAACCAGCCCATACCAACTTCTGCCTGTGAGAGTTGTGCCGGCTTTATTATAGTACTTGCAAGGTAGCGCTGAACCGATATTCTTCAAACCTTTCTGATAGAGGGGTTTATTCATGTTTGGGGTCAGTACAGTTTTGTTAATATTTTTGAAAGAAGTCTCTAATTCACACCAAGCGTGCATTTATTTGATCAAACATACCATAAATATATCAAAACTTAATTTTTGATTAGTAATAGGCATTGCTAAGAACTTCATTTGGACAACTTTAAAGGCGATTTTCTCAATATTTAGAATTTTTTGCACCCTAAGATTGAACTTCATTTGGACAACTTTAAAGGCGATTTCCTCAATATTTAGAATTTTTTGCACCCTAAGATTCCAAATTTTCAAATAGTTTTATCTCGGCCAAATATCATTCTATTCTAACAAACCATGCATCAATGGAAAGCTCATTTAGTCAGCTTTCAGATGATGTATAAATCTAAATTTCAGAAAATTACCCTTATGACTGGTTTTGTTGTGCAGGGTCACATATAATAAATACATTCTTTGCTGAACACGAAGTTAAAAATAACATCATTTATTTAATATATACTATAGATAGTCTTTGCTGTCATTTTTAAACAATTCAGTGCATCCTTGCTGAATTAAAATATTAACTTCTTTAAAAAATTGGACTGACTCAAAATAGTCTGTTTTTTCTTTAATGCACAGTATCGGTCTTATTCATCATTAGTGCATGTTGTTTTCACAATATGATGCCATCGGTTATATTTGCATAATGAATTGTGACTGGTATTCTTTCTTACATCTATTTGCATACTGAATTGTGATTTGTCTTCCTTGCAGCTTTATAACCATTTACAGCTACTTTTACACTGCATAAGTAACTAAGTGTTGATTCTTGTGAGCAGCCGACTGAGAAAAAGACTTGTATTGAGAGTCATAACAACGAATGCAGCATTTCATTTTTTAGAGAACCGAAAACTTTAACACTCATTTTCTGGTGCCTTTCGAGCACTGTTAGTTTCTTTAGAAAATGCTAATTTGACTGCTAACACAGTCGTGTTGAAAATGAGGGAGTGATGTTTTCGTTCCATCTCGGAGGCTGGATGTCATCTCCGTCTCGTTGCCTCCTTCATCGCACTTTCACCTCTCCCCCTGTCTCTCCTCCTCAAGCCAGATGCTCAAGTGCAAAGAAAAGGGCAGAAGTGAGATAGCAAATGTTTCAACATCTGTCTCTGTTGATTTTAGTGCAACAAGTACTTCCACATGTTTGCTTTTTCTTCGCGCTGTTTCTGGGCAGGAGGTTGATGAGCACAGCTGCCCGGTTTCTTTCTTTTATGGGTACAGACCAGCTGAGAGAGCGGCTCACGTGGTGCTATAATGCTTAAGCTAATGTACGGAGGAATGTAGATTACGAGTGTTTTAAGGCTTTGGTCCCGTGCGTGCCGTCATTCTTGCTCGCTCCCTCGCGTTGATTGGCCTGACAGTACACTATTTATTTTTTCATTGGTTCATATGTTCTTTTAATAATTCCAGTGCTTGGCTGTGCCCACAGGGCATTTGGACTTTTAGGTTCACAGTGACGGGCTCTCTGAAGTTATGTGTGTGTGGGTAAGACAGTTGCAGACAGCATGTGTGGAGCACATCGACTGTCACTGAAGGACATCAATCAGAGCAGTGTGATGCTGTAAATCTAATACACATGTTTCAGTTTTCCCAATGGAAAACATCACAGATTCACACACATCAAAGCTGCTCTCTGTCATTTTCCTTTTCATATCCTATGCCCATGTTTGCTTTGAGGTTGTGTTTACATGATTTTGTCAGGCCGTTTGTCATGGCACGAGTAAATCTGTCATTAGATACCATTACAGCCTTTTTATGTGATTTAAATATTAATGCATAACATTTCTGTATTAGCAGCAGCATTGTAATAATATACAACAATTCTCACTTGTATTTAAAGTAGGAAAATTAAAAGGAGATGCTAACACTTCAGGAAATGTTGATCGTCAAAGTAAATATTTTTAATGTATTACAGTTTGTTTTTAAACCTTATGTGTTTTTTTTATATCGGTAAACTTTAAATAAACCAAAAAAGATACATTTAATGATGGTGATGATAATAATAATAATAAATTAATAGAACATTTATTCTGTAATAGATTTGAATGGCTTAACGTCACAGATGTATTAAAAAATACAAAGAGTTTTTGCATGTTTTTGAAAGAAGTCTCTAATTCACACCAAGCCTGCATTTATTTAATCAAACATATAGTTCAACTAACAGTAATATTGTGAAATATTATTATAATTTAAAATAAATGTTTTCTTTTTTAATATTAATTTAGTCCCTTTGAAGGCAGAGCCATTACTTCAGTCTTCATTGTCACGTGATCCTTCATGTTGATTTGGTGATCACAACATATTTCCTATTTATAATCAGTCAAAAACAGTTGTGCAGCTTAATATTTTTGTAGATAATATGTGACCCTGGACCACAAAACCAGTCAAGGGTAGCACGGGTATATTTGTAGCAATAGCCAACAATACATTGTATTGGACAAAATTATCTATTTTTCTTTTATGCCAAAAATCATTAGGATATTAAGTAAAGATCATGTTCCATGAAGATATTTTGTAAATTTCCTACCGTAAATAAATCAAAACTTAATTTATTACTTAAACTTAAACTTATTATTAAAACTGAAACTTATTACAGTTTGTTTTTAAACCTTATGTGTTTTTTATATCAGTAAACTTTAAATACGCCAAAAAAGATACATTTAATGATGATGGTAATAATAATAATAATAATATTAAATTAATAGAAAATTTATTCTGTAACAGATTTGAATGGCTTAACTTCAGAGATTTATAAAAAAAAAAAATACAAAATGAAAAAAAAAATTAGAAAAATGAATATTATTTACTTGTCCTGCTGTAGAATGTAGTGAAATGCTCTTCTTGTACAGCTACCTTTAATATTACATTTTGTGTTTCATAATAGTTTCAATAGCATATATAGTTTCAAATATTTAAAAAATTATAATAAATAAAACACCTAATGCTTCTAATGCTTTTGCAGTCATATGATACCAGTATACCAAGAATTGCTAGAAAGTCACAATCTCTGTTTGGTTCTTTTTATTTCAAGTGCTTTTTAAACCATGTATATCTGGAAGATATTTAGTTACCTTTCTAAAGTCTGAATGCTGTCTTTACTGACACTTTTAGTAGTTTTTAAAAGGTTGAATTTGCTGGCCTCCTGGGTATCAATGAAACAGGAAGACATTTTAGCCATGTTTCAGTCACTGTGTGTGTGTATGTGAGTGTGTGTGAGCACGCGTGTAAGCCGCCATGTGCTTCCTCCCCTTTTCTTTAAGAGGATGCTCCTGAGAAAAGCTTATCAGTGGTGTGATGTATTAGTCCTTAGTGCCTTAATAGATTCCATTTATCTCTATACAGTCCCTCTAATTTAAATGGGCTTGGGGAATGTATTAAAATGACTATGGACACTTTGATGTAGCACCAGGCCAGGTGTAGCTCCTGTAAAATGGATCACGTAAAGTGATTGTTAACCTATTGTTGTCAGACCGGCCCTTTTTCTCTAGCCGTTTATCTTGAATGGAATAGTTAGCGTGACAGGCTGACTCCTTTGGATTGCACACAATCTAAAGTACAAGGATGAAAAGCAGCACCTCTTCACATGTTTTTCACTTGCAGAAGCAGTTTTCATGTTCAGAAAATGCATGATGGTGTTTTGATATTTACCGTGGTTATTGAATGATGAATCCAACAGTACATTATGCTCTAAAAGATGCATTTCCATTAGTAAAAACTGAAAAGCACCGTAAATTTGAAACAATGATATCATATGCTATTTGCTAACGTATCTCTCTCCCACTCAGATGATTCAGCGAGAAGCAGAAGTGAAGAATCATGTCCGTGCGGTGGCCATGACTGACTCTGTCCATAACGTCTGGCACCAGGAGGCCAACAAGTCCATTCGGGACTGGCTCAGAGAGGTACAATCTTCCATCAACATCATGTGCCAAAACCTTTATGTTCTCAATCACAGCATCAATATCGGCCACACAGCTCAGCTCAAACAGCCTGGCATTTCATTCAGCGAGCAGATACACTGCAGAAGCAGGAGTCACGGAAAGCCAATAGTTTGTTTTTCATCCCACACTCTTGTTTGTCTGTTTGGGCAGATGTCAATAAGAAATCAAAGCCAAACGCCGCCGCACGCAGGCAGATGCTCTGTTAGTATGTCAGTTTTATTTAGTTGCTGCCCTTTCAGCGATGACCTCGAGTCCAGAGACAACACCTGGGAACACTCAATATGCACATAAATATGAGAGAGTGGATCCCAAGCCAGGGCTACAGGGGAGCCAGCCATGCAAATGCCAAGCGCAAACACACGCCCTCGCCTCTCAACCGCTTTCTCCGTCAACAGCGGACCACCCAGCCCACCAGAAAAAAATGTCTTTCATTCCTTTGTCTTTGCTGATCTGCTTTGCTCCGTCAGATGTTTGCTTGCCTTTTGTTTGCCTTGGTGATTTTTTTTTTTTTTTTGGTCTGTTCGGATCATGGGCTCTTTCTTCTCTTTCATCCTGTCAAGTTATGTGTTCTTTCTTTCTTTCTTTCTTTCTTTCTTTCTTTCTTTGTGTAATTGGAATATTAGGGGATTTATATGTGTGATATTTTTGCCCTGAATAATAAGTCCATCAAAAATAGGAACACGTTGTCGTTGATTTGTTCTTTCTTATGCGTTCCGGTGGTGTGACTTACACTAGAGACATAAGGAGGAGACAGACCACTCGCAGAATAATACATGTGAGAATATGTGTAATGCTTGATATGACAGCTGTAGTAATAGAAGTCCTGCCTTTAAGTTAAAAGAGCCTAAAAAATACAGCTGTTCAGTGTGATTTAAGATAAAGAAGCACAATTTAAGATACAATTGTCAGATTGCATTGCTGATTTAAAATGTTGGTAACACTTCAGTATAGGGAACAATTCTCACTATTAACTAGTTGTTTATTATCATGCCTATTATTAACATATTGGCTGGTTATTAGTACTTATAAAGCACATATTCTGCATGACCATATTCTACATTCCTAATCCTACCCAATACATAAACTTAACAACTACCTTTCTAACTATTAATAAGAAGCAAATTAGGAGTTTATTGAAGCAAAGGTAGTAGTTAATGGTTTGTTTATAGACTTAAAAATAAAGTGTGAACAAAATGTTTTATTGGAATGTGTTGTAAATGAGATTTCAGTCTTTCTGTGTTCAGGCCTTAAATTATAGTTCACCCAAAAATAAAAATGTGTTTATTCGCCCCCATGTCTTTCTAAACCTGTATGACTTTATTTCTTTTGTGGAACACGAAAAATATATTCTGAAAAATGTTTTTGTCTATACAATAAAAGTCATTGGGGTCCAAAACAATGCTGACCTCGACTGTATGGACAAGAAATATTTAAAAAAAATTCAAAATGTCTTATTTTGTGTTCCACAGAAGAAAATCATAGAGGTTTGAGCCGACATGAAGATAAGTAAATGATGATAGTATTTACATTTTTTTTGGTGAACTATCCAGTTAAAGTGGCTTGCTTGCACAGACTATTATTAATGGCAGAAGAAAAGGCTTTGTACATTCTCACACACTCGCAAGTGCTGCCAAACATTGAGGACACCAAAATATTAATTTGTCAGGGGGCCTGATTAACACAGATGAGGTCGAGCATTTTATTTAATTGATTTTCAGATCTAATTCATCCCAATAATTGAAGCCAGAGGGTGGACTCTCACTTCAGGAATGTTAAAGTCACTTTCAGTCCTTCCGTGTCACCCGTTAACCCCCTAATCCTTTTACTCCTGCAGGAATTGGGACCAGGGTTGTGTAAAGACGTTCAGATTTCCCACTGCCTGTGTCTCCACAGTAGACCTGTCTTTAATCAGGGTCAGGACCCCATCTCCTTCCATAGTAACGTCCATAGCAATCATGATTTGGACATTATTCAGGTTTGAGATCACTGTTTCTGGCCGGGCAGGCATCTCTATAGGGGTTTGTCGGAGGTGATGCTCCGTTCCTTGCACAATCGTGAGCTCTTTCGTGCAGGGGGTGGTAATTCCCCTTCTCCTCCTGAGGGAGGTGGAGATGGAGGGATGAGAGCTGAGAATTGGAGGGATTTTCAGGACGAGAGCGCAGTAGGACAGGTGATGTGGCGATAATGGGTCAGACTAAGGGCATATGAGGGAGAGAGAGGGGGAAGGGAAGACACGGGGAAGACAGACATAAATAGAGCAACCTGAAGGAGGATGAGAGGTCCCTCGGGAAGCAGTGGCATATACTGAAGGGGAAGAAATGGTGAGAGAAAATCTCCTAGGACATAGAGAGAGAAGAGAGAAATAGAGTAGAGAAATATGCGTTGTCCATGAGAATACCTGCAGTGGCTGGAAAGCTGCAGTGATGGAAAGATAAATGACAAAAAAGCTAAAAATATAAACACCACATACTAGTACGTACTAGTTGAGAGAGAAGTAGACCTTACAGAGCAGCAAAACAGCAGACACTCAAAAAAAAAAAGGGCAGAAAAAACAGCAACTACATATATTGCATTTTACGTGACCTTTTCGAGTCACAAATCTTAAGAAACGTGAATTATTGGAAGCTAGATAAAATCCCGTGTTAGATCAGAATTTCCCCAAATGTTGTCTTAACTAGTCAAACAGTTTTCTGAACAAAGACTTTGAAATGACTCAGTATTGCTGAAATTGTAAGGGTTTGTGAGTTACCAGCATGCACTGCAGCATGAATAAATTATGCAGTTACTGGTTTAGGATTATTGGTTTGCTGTTTTTCTTTTTTTTGGGAGGGGGGGCAGTGTTGTTAGTTATTTGTTGTTTTGTGATGTTGAAGGGTTATTTTGCCCAAAAATGAAAGTTATGTCATCATTTACTCACCCTATGTCATTCCAAACCCATAAGACTTCTTCAAAACACAAATGAAGGTATTTCTAATAAAACCTGAAGAGGTTTCTGTCCCTCCATTGAAAGTCCAGTGAAACAACGCTTAGAAGATCTGAAAAGGTCATAAAGGCACTGTAAATTGAATCCATATAAATTGAGTGGTCTTGTGAAGAGATACTAGTGTTTTTTCGATGATGAAAATATTTAATTTAGGTTTATATTCTCATATACACATACATAGAGCACATCACATTAGGTATACACAGAAGTGCAAATTTTTATTTTTGGGTGAACTATTACTTATTATGTTTTACATTTGTTGCTTGTTGCTGTTCTTGAGGTTTGTGTCTGATGTCTGTGTACAGCCTTCTAAAACTATATCCCAGATAGCTTTGCTTTGTAATGTGATTATGTCTCAGAAGCAAAGATAGCATAGTTCATTTCACATATTAAGCATCCTACATATATTGCTTTGGTGAATATATGGGCCTAATGACTGTCTTCCGTATACCTTCTCTAACTGGGCCATTAGGAGTCCACTTAGGAGTCCCACCATGCTCCAGCACCCCATCTCCCAGCCCAGAAGAGCTGGGAATACCACAACCATATGGCCCTGATTAATTCTGATGGGCCTCACCGTAGACGATTATCACACATTTGTGTCCGTTTGTCGTTTTCATTTTGTGTGGCTTCAGTTGGGATGGGATTTGAAAGTGTTGCAGAGCATTCAAAAACTCTGACAGATACATTTATTTAGTTCAGATGTGTGTTGAGACATCATATTTAAACACAAGGTATAGCTATATTCTGTGCAAGAATGTGAAAAACTAGATATTTTTTATGATGGACTAGTCGTTGGGGTTATCTGAAGATATTGGCTGCATACTAAAATCCAAGAAGTTGGAAAAACTAAAATCTCTAAATTCATTGCTTGTACAGCACGTTGACTAAAATATCTAAAGAATTAGTTCACTCTGAAATGAAAATTCTGTCATCATCAATATTTTGAAGAATTTTTAAAACCGTTTTAGACATAGTTCATTATATAAAGCATCCTACATATATTGCTTTGGTGAATATATGGGCCTAATGAGGCATTTTTACATTTCCTTTTTATAGTGTACTTCTGAGCAATTTGGGCACGTGGCAGCTTGTTGCTCAAGACACTCGTCTGTCGTGTAGAATACAGTGGCTGAGGTGTGATGCACCACAGTGCAACCGGGACTGACTGAGCAGAATGCGGCATGTTAAAGGGCAGCTAAAGGATAGGAGGCCAGACGCAGAGATGCTTAATAAGTGCAGGTAGGAGAGAGAGCACTCTCAGTGGGATCCAACACCTGTCTTCCGTATACCTTCTCTAACTGGGCCATTAGGAGTCCACTTAGGAGTCCCACCATGCTCCAGCACCCCATCTCCCAGCCCAGAAGAGCTGGGAATACCACAACCATATGGCCCTGATTAATTCTGATGGGCCTCACCGTAGACGATTATCACACATTTGTGTCCGTTTGTCGTTTTCATTTTGTGTGGCTTCAGTTGGGATGGGATTTGAAAGTGTTGCAGAGCATTCAAAAACTCTGACAGATACATTTATTTAGTTCAGATGTGTGTTGAGACATCATATTTAAACACAAGGTATAGCTATATTCTGTGCAAGAATGTGAAAAACTAGATATTTTTTATGATGGACTAGTCGTTGGGGTTATCTGAAGATATTGGCTGCATACTAAAATCCAAGAAGTTGGAAAAACTAAAATCTCTAAATTCATTGCTTGTACAGCACGTTGACTAAAATATCTAAAGAATTAGTTCACTCTGAAATGAAAATTCTGTCATCATCAATATTTTGAAGAATTTTTAAAACCGTTTTAGACCATACACTGAATGTCAGTGGTGTCCAAAACAACAGCATTAATATAAAGGATAATTGCATTTTTCAAAGTAACTTCTACATTGTTCCACAGAAGAAAAGTCATACAGGTTTGGAATTAGAAGGAGAATTTAGTTTTTGATTGAATTATCCGTTTAAGCTAAACCAAAAATCCAGATCCACTGGATCCTGACTCATCCCTAATTCTGCTCTTGATTCTTTTCTCTTTATCCACCTTATTTTACAACACAGATGTAAGCTATTTTTTGTGAATGTGGGATATTTAAGATTTGGCAAGTAACTAAAACAATAACAGTGCAGTATATATATATATATATATATATATATATATATATAAATAAATTAATAAATTAATTAATATTTTTATTAAGCAAAGATGCATCTAATTGATCAGAAGTGATAATAAAGGCTTTTATATTGTTACAAAAAATATATATTTAAAATAAACAATGTTCTTTTGAACATTCTGTTCTTGAGCAACAGTCAGGATATTAGAATGTTTTCTGAAGGGCCATGCACCATTGAAGACTTGAGTAATGGTTGCTGAAAATTCAGATTTGTCATCACAAAAATTAATTACATTTTAAAATATATTAAAAAATAATAAAAAAATAATAATTTATGGATTTAGCAGACACTTTTATCCAAAGCGACTTACAGTGCATTCAGGCTGTACATTTTTTACCAGTATGTGTGTTCCCTGGGAATCGAACCCACGACCTTTTGCACTGCTAACGCAATGCTATACCACTGAGCCACAGGAACACTATTCTATTCTATTAAAATAGAAAGAAAATGTATTTAATGGTAATAATATTTAACTACATTTTTATTTTATTTTTTACATTATTATTTTACTTCAAATATTGTAAATGTATCTTTGGTGAGTTTAAGACTTCACATTTTTTAATGGTAGAATCTATAAAAGTACCAACAATTTTAGACACTCTCCTTAATGCACCTTTTAAAGGGGTCATATGATGCTGCTAAAAAGAACATTATTTTGTGTATTTGGTGTAATGAAATGTGTTTATGCGGTTTAAGGTTAAAAAAACACATTATTTTCCACATACTGTACATTATTGTTTCTCCTCTATGCCCCGCCTTTCTGAAACGCGTCGATTTTTACAAAACTAATCGGTCTGAAAAGCGAGGTGTGCTCTGATTAACCAACTATCCAGTGCGTTGTGATTGGCCGAAAAGCTCAAGCGTGTGACGGAAATGTTACACCCCTTACCATACTGTGATGCCGTCT